TCATCTTAATCTTAATTCCCCTTTGCCATGTAAGTGTCATCTAACATATCTGTGAAGATTAGTATGGCAATTGGTATGTACACCTCTGGGAAGATCATTATTTAGCCTAGGTGGGTAGTAATGAGCCTAGTGAAGGAGATTAGGAGGTGTTCTAGGCAAAAGGTCACAGTGTAAAAATACCTTAAGAAAAACTTCTGTCAATTTTGTGGCAAAGGACATCATCTGTGAGGGTCAGTGAGTGAGGGAGACAACAGTGTAAACTAGGCTCCCGGGGGTGGATGGGGCTAGATTTTGAGAGCCTTTTTGCTTTTGTTAGAGATTTGCATTTATTTTCTGAATGTATAGAGAATCAGAATACTGAGTGGGCCTGGCATTATCTGAGTGTATTTAAGGATCTCCCTGTCTTTCTGGAGGGACATGGGCAGGGGAGGCCAGCAAGGAGGCTACTGCAGTTACCAGAGGAAGAGGATCATGAGAATCGTCAACACAGGGCCTGGAAATGAGTAGGAAGTCTCATGTTGATAGCTTCCCTGCAACCCATTTATTCTCCAGGAAGATCTCTACTAGCAACACATATTTTTGCCCATTCTTTCTCTAAGATTCTCTTCCTTTATGTTCCCATTTGCCAATCTCTAATATTCTTTAAGATCTGGCTCACGATATACATCCTCCAGGAAGTTTGCAGTCACAAGCTTCATTCTATATCAGTCACTGCCTTAGTTCCATGCACATATAGTGGTCTCTTGGTGACCATCCATAGGCTGTGGGTTTGAGGAACCCTCCACCACATCCAAATCCACAGATACTCGAGTGTGCTATATAAAATGGTATAACACTTTCATAGGACCTATGCACATCCTTCTTTACACTTCAAATAATCTCTAGTTTAATACAAAATGCAGCATAAATGTTATGTAAATAGTTGCTATAATGTATTGTTTAGGGAATAAGGGCAGTATAAAAAATTTGTAAACATTCAGAATTGAGATACTTATTTTATTTTAATTTTTAGCACTTTGATCTGCAGTTTGCTGAATCTGCAGATGTGGAACCTATAGATGCAGAGGGGTAATTGTAAACATTCACTCCTTGGCTGTTTACTGTCATTTTCACAATATTACTGCTACTTGAGTCTATTTCAGCACCACAGTGGTTTCTGTCCTCAAATCCAGGGCCATCATGACTGTTACAGATTAAGCTGATCAGATAGTTAAAACCCTCATTTTGAACACTGGAATGCAAAATCTCACTTCATCTGTTATGCCATGATATTTGGTTATATGCTTCAGACGAAGAGTTGTAATATCCCATTGCTACATATCCCCAGGGTCTGGGGTAGACTAATGATTTTGCTGCCATAATAAACAACCTGAACATTGCAATGACTGATGACAACAAACGTTTATTTCTTGCTCATGATGCTTTGATCCACTTTGAGGCATATCACCAGTCTCCGGTTGTTTATTGATTTTTTTCCCTTATTTATAAATAATTAAGTTTATAAATATCTTCCTCTCATTCACTCTATTCTTTTCAAGAATCTAATATGACACAGTGAATGCAATAGGAATTTAATAACCAATTCTTGAGTGAATGAATAGGGAGCAATAAACTTTTCTTGGGGCTGATAAAGAATCACTAAGTAAGGAAGGCATAGTGATGAGTGCCTGTAATCCACTCTGGGATTTGAAGGCAGGAGGATTGCAAGTTTGAGCCAAGTCTAGGCAATGTAGGGACTTAGTGAAACACTGCCTCAAAATAAAGCAAAAATTAAAAAAGGCTGGGGATATATCTCAGTGCAAAGGCCCTAGGTTCTGTTCCCAGTACCACCAAAAAAAAAAAATCACTAAATGCTTTGGTATTTCAATAGGAAAATGGGATAATGATACTTAATTCAGGAAGGCATTAGGAGGATTAGGTATGATCAATGTGGTATGCGCTGGAAGAGGCATCACTCCGTAAGAAATCTCAATAATGCTAATGACAAGCCATGGCTGAGTCAGAGGCCACCCAGGTGTGGAGAAGCACCCATTGAGTGTACCCCAGTGACATTCTTCAGCAAGGGATGCAACTTTCATTCACTACCGCTCATCCCCATGTGAACTGCCCTCCCATTGTAGCTTTCCTGGTGTGTTGAGAAAAAAAATCTCCCTAGTTTATTTCATTTCTTTTGTTGTTATTATTGGAAGAGGGTGATAGAGAGGTAGCTTCCTGAAGCAATTTGCAGAACATTTTTGTTTTTTTCACTCTCCCACCTGATCATTTTCTCTACATAGTTAATGGATTTATTTGGTTTTTCATTGGCATTTAAAAGCTTAAATGCATTTTAAGCAACTGTCTTCAAGTTTAAGGTATGGGGAAATGCAAATCTAAATACTGTAAACCTCTGAAGCTTGGTCATTGTCCATTTGGTTACTGTTTAATCACTCAACACAACATGATGAAATATAATAATGTCTTGTCCCTCCTAAATTGTTAAAGATGAGAGAGCTGGAGCTGTCACATTGGTTCTCATCACATCAAAAGACCAAAGCGAAATATGAAGGTGTTTTGATTACCATCAGATAATAGTGAAATTTTAGTCATGGAAATGTTGGATGTAATGTAATATGACAGATGAATCAAATTTGTTGAAATCTTTTAAGATTACACTGTGCTTACCTTTGTAATAACAGATGCTTTTATTAAAGTATTCTGCATTTCTTTGGCTAAAAATTTGACCAGTTTTTAAAGCACTGTCAACTGCTCTCAATTAATGTAGGCTTTCAAATTCTTTTGCCTCAAAGTTCTACTAATATCAAAAGCTTCCTTGGCGATATTCTGCATACCAGTGAGAGATATCTTTATTTCTTTGTGCATTGTAATAATTCATATACACTCTATATTAGCTGTTTATCTGTGATATAGTGAATAAAACTATTCTTTGGTTTATGAGGTAGTGAACAAGATTATTCTTTCAAAAATAAATTTTGAATTTTATACCAAAAATATATGTATGTGGTACTTTATTTGTTCATTCTTATATTGGTTCTCATCATAGTTAATTAACGAGTGTGTGTTTGGAACTTTGGCAATATTTTGTCAGTGACATGATCGATGATGTACACAATCCATATGATATTGAAATAATGACATACATTTGCTGAGTTTAATCTCAGTGATTATGAGACTTCAGTGCAAAATTTAAATATGTCTCAGTAGCATAAGCTACATTAGATTTAAAAATCTCAAGAAAAATGTATAATCCTATTCAGCTGAAATACGTGTTTGCTAGAGATACTGATTTTAAATTCAGTGGTTTATTCAATGGTCATGTTTAGTACTAGTGAATCTTACAATTTGCATGGAATACTGTTGCTTTTGTGAATCATTTGTTGAATTTTTTTCCCTGGAACAAATCACTTCTCTGGCTTTTTCATAGCTTTTATGTTCCATAGGTTCAGTGCTATTTCACTTTGCTTCATTGGATTCCAATAGAAATGTTTAGCTAAAAAATTCATTTATAAGAGAGCTTAAGAAAGAATGAAATGCTAACACATAACCAATAGATGTTTGACTATACTCCATGAGGGCCTCTGGCACATTCAGTATAGTAGATTCAGTAAGTGTTTATTAAATGAATAAGTGATGTAAGAACTTACCATTTTTAAACTCAGAAAATCTGGGTCTGTTCATATACACATTTTCCTTCCCAAAGATATTAAGATATGTCATGTAATGTAAAACATTTCCAAGCATTATTTGGCATCTTGACAAAAAAGCCAGACTTCCTGATCCCATCATTGAGAGTCCGGCTTAGCCTCATGAGGACCCAGGTGTTTATCAGCGCTCCCATCTATGATCCTTTCTAACTCCCAGTCTTTGAAAGCTTTGTCCCACTTTATTTCTTTGATTTTCTGCTAGGCTATAAAGCTTTCTACACTAGTAAGCTAATTGTGTAGAGCACATACAGATAATTGATTTCACCAGTTTCTCTCCCAGGGGACAATTTCCTCAATTTGAGAATGGCATGTCTGAACTACAGAATTTCTCAGACTTCATGCAGTTCTATTATCATGATTCTGATCTTTGAAGCCAGGTAGAAATCTGGTCAGGCTGGGTATAGTGGTACACACCTATAATCTGGGACTCTGGAAGGCTGAGGGAAGAGGATGGGAAATTCAATCCCAGCCTGGGCAATTTAGTGACTTAGAAAGACTCTGTCTCAAAATGGAAAATTTTTTTAAAAAGGCTGGGAATGTGTGAAGGCCTTGGGTTCAATCCATAGTACTGGGCATGGGGGGAGGGGAGAGAGAGAGGGAGAGAGAGAGAGAGAGGAGAGAGGAAGGGAGGGAGAGAAAAAGAAAGAGAAAGAGAGAAAAAGAATATCATTAAATTAACTTTCTGTGTTGGGTTGGAGATTGAGGAACTCTATTCAAGTCTGATTAATTTTTCCCAGAAGAGATGGGCAGACAGACGGACAGATTATAGACAGATGAGGATGGAAGAGGAAGGGGGAAGAAGGAGAAGGATGAAGAGGGAAGGAAAGAAAGAAAAAGAAAAATAGATTGGAAAAGTTTTAGAGAAAGAAATCAAGAAGTGCAAGGCTTAACAAATCTCACTGCTTGTCAATGGGTCTTGAGGAACTAAAAGTTGTTGTCAATAGGAAAAAAAGTCACATCTGTTTAGAAAACAAGCAATATTCAGTCTTGAGCTGTTGCTGAAATCAGAAGCCAGGGTCTTGTGAGGTGAAGGGATAGAGGAGGGAAAGAGGAATTGTACGTGATTGCAATTTATTTTTACTGGGCAAGGTGCCCGGTGGAATATTGAGACTGTAGTCACCGAGGTGAGATTGATTTTCGTATGTTTTACCTAACTGTTAACACCCCACTTCTTCCTTTCAGGAGGATCCCATATACAGAATAATTATTTATTACTTAGTCTAATCCACACTGGCACCAATGCCTCATGCTAGATCTATTATTAAGCAACTTAATCTCTCAAGGTTGTAGGTATAAAGGGCAATGAAGAGTATGAAAAATGTTTCTGGAGTTAAAAGTGATACTGGGAGCTCACGAATGGACAGAAAGCGTGGGAAATACGCAGTGAATATTGAGCACTCTGGAAAACAGCTGGTGAGTATGGCAGCACTCTAGCAGCACATTCTGATTGCCCAGGGACTTATTTACAATATATATGTAGCTCTAACACTATTTTTTAATATAGCACAGTTCTTTCCAAAAAGGAATTTTAAGTTTTACACGGAAGGAAATTTTACCTACTACTACTTATTGAAAAGATTTGTTTCTGCATATCAGTAGGTGCATATTTGAAAATTTTACTTTAAATATTCATTAATCCAAGACATTAGCAATTGTGGAAATGATAACATCTTCAATTAATACTGTACAGTAATAATTGAAGAAAAAACTAAAAAAAAATCTGATTTTGACTGCATGCCAATTGCTTTGAAAAAATAGTATATAAATTTGAATGATAGTTACCTAGATTTATAGTATAGTCAGTATGCCTGGCTTCTCAGAATTAAAAAATTTAAATATATCTTTGAAAGTCAGAGGTCAATGTTAGCGAAGGCTAGGTCTAGGGAGCAAACTATGCAGCAAATCCTTTGATTAACCTTAACTTTACTTATTAATTTTTGGGGGTCAAAGAATTGTTTTGAGAACTTTGACATTAATTGAACTGGGAATGTCAATAGCCTTTTTGATATCTACTTAGGATTGGGTGCAATTGATATGTAACATATTTTCATGGAAAATATACTTAATGTAAGCTCACATTACGTGTACAACTTGACAAATTTTTACACACACACACATATGTGTATCATACACATGGCTGAGTACTACCACTCTGATCTAGAGACAGAATATTTCCACTACCCATGTAGACAGGGCACAACAGCTCCCAGTCAGGGTGACCAGTCTTCTCAACTCTACCACTACAGTTTAGTTGTGCATTTCCTTACACTTCATATACATGGAATTATAGAGTATGTCCTCCTATGGGGATGGCTTTTGTTGCTCTTCATTTTATCTAAAAGAGAGATGATGACATTAAAGGAGAAGGGAGACTATGAGAGAAGAGAAAAGGGATTAGGGGAATGGGAAGGGAATAGTGGGAGGGGAAATGATCAATGTGTGTTACATGCATGTAGAAATATGTCAAAATGAAGCTCACAATTCTGTATAACTAACACGCACTAATGAAATTGTTTTAAAATCTGGAATTGCTGTCAGACAGAGAAGTATAAGGACGATGTTGTCTATAATGATTTGCAGTGCTGTCCTTTTGTAGATCAGGAGACTGCATTTTTGTGGGTCTGTTTCAAAACTGTATGTTCTGTTTATCTAGTCTTGCAACAGTATTATACTGTCTTGATTATTCTAGCTCTTTAAGACCTGTTGGATTTTCTTCCAATTTTTAGAATTATCTTACTGATTTCTATAAAAATACTTCCACAGTTTTAATTAGGGGACTGTTGACTCTGCATATCGATTTGTAAGAATCGACACTTTAATGTTTAAATTTTTGCAATTCACAGAACATGGATTATTTCCCAATTGATTGTGGTTTTCTTTAACTTTTATTAGCAATGGTGAGATTTTAATAGGAAATATATACAACTTATTCCTAGATTTTTTGGATGCTATTTTGAGTAGTATATTAAGTTCAATTCCAAATGTTTTCTTGCTATTATATAGAAATCCTATTGATTGAAAAAATTTAAATATTGCCTGTTTATCCAGTGGCCTTATTAACTCATGTATTAATTCTCTCTATACCAACATGCAATATCATTATATTTACAAATGGATTAAATATGGTGGCAATAAAAGAAAATGCCTATTCCTGTACTTTAATATCAATAACTACCGGTATATGTGCAACTGATGATGATCTAACTAGATTCTCTCCTTTCGAGAATTACAATGAACGTATCATTTATTTCTTCAGTCCTGTTTCACTTTACCTTCTTATTTGATGAAAACAACTTCATGATGCATTACAATCTGGCTTATAGTTATCAGAATTATATTACTTTAATTGCATGTATTATATGTGATATACAATAACTTCTTATTTTATTTTTTCCCTCATTATTTTTTGTCTGTAGCCATTCCTGAGCCCAACAAATTGTGAAGCTCACAACTCAGAATGTCAGTTTTCTACATCAGCTGGTCCTACTGGCACCAACTTAACTGAGCTCTGCACCGACTCAGGGCCCGTCGGTCACTCAGAATTCCCAAACCAAGAATTTCCACAGGTAATGTTTGGGAACAACACTGCTTCTCTGGGTTAAGATAAAATCCATGTGAAAGTCCACTACTCAATCAATCGACACTGACATCTTTCTTGTGAGAGCTGTAGAATTGAATGTATGGGAGGTAGAAAATTTATGTGGCTCTTTGCTTAAGGAACTAATGATCTCAGAAGAGAAATAAAAACTTAAACTAGAGTTTGAGAAAAGATATGAGGATCATTAAAAAAAAATGTTGAGAGTACTGAGTAGGTAACAGCATAGCAAACACATTGCCAGTAAATAACACTGTTAATAACCATGCTCAGATGGAAGAAGTTATGGGTCTGTCTCACTCTGGCACAGTGTCTACTTCTGAGCTTGACATTGGCAGTTTTCTTTAGCTCTTCTGGTTCTGACCTCAGACGTTTTCCACCTTGACTTTGAAACCGCTTTGTTCTCTGTGTTTTCCATTTTGATTTGGTGTCAGAAGCCTATTTTCTGTATACCTGGCTGCTTATTGAATTTTATTCTATTTAAAGTCTGATCTCTGACTTTTTTTCCTAAGTAACAATTTGATTTTGACTCAAAGTTGATGGTGCTTGGCATTTTAGAGAGCTGAAAGCTATTTTAGATACCTCATTTTTATTTAGTCACAGATTAAAAAAACAAGGTCTGGGAAATTTTGAGTGTTTGTAAGAATGCACACAAACTAGTTAATGGCAGTCATAGTACTAGATAGAATATAGGTCTGCAATCAGGTTAAGATGAATTTCTATTAATCATGCTCCTCTTTTTAAAATTTCAAACTGAAAATTAGGTTAACTGCCTCCTAAAACAATTAACATAACATGCATCTGTATGTAGGGCCCCCTCTCTCTTCTGCTTCCTGCTTCCTTTCTCAGGCACAAATGGCAGGAGACAGGAGCTGCCTTTTGGGTCTGAGCTGTCTTGGTTGGGGACCTAATTCCCTTGGCCTTGGCACCTAATGCACTTCATTGCTCCTGATGGCTTAGTGAGTGTTGCTCTCAACTCAAACTGGAATTTGTCTTCAGAGACAGTGTCTCCTATTTTAAAACATTTAAAAGCTCTTTGACATGCTCTGAAGATATCTGCTATGTGCTTATTTCCTTTGCTTTCACCCGTAATATAGGGGTTAATAATGAGCTTATCTATAAAATAAATTTTTTGAATAGTTGTTAAATGCTGGACATTCTATATTGCTTTTTAAATGTACTACTTACAACAACCGTATGACATAGGTGATATTGTCCATGTCTGGGAACTGAAGATTTGGAGAATAATGTAAATTTCCAAATGACATCATCTGTTTAGTTAAAAAAAACCCCAAAAAACCCTAAATCTGTTAGACTCCAAGAGTCTATGCTCTTATTTAGCACAATGCACTTAATTTTACAAAAAATACTTACAGAGAACATTTCTTGTTACTAATTTTATCAACACTATGAGGTAGATGTTAATATACTCAATTTTGATATAAAGAAATTGGAGAATTAGACAAGAAATCTGCAAGTTAAAAAACTTGTTGAGTAATATCATTGCTGTGGGATTTAAACTCAAGAATCAGATTCCAAGACTTACACAATCTACATTATACAATATTCAATTATAACACTAACAAATAATATACGTATTGGTACAGTACTTTTAGAGTTCACAAGGTAATTTTACATTAATCACTTTTCTAATCTTATAAACTTTTATGATAAAAGGTGAAAGAGTAGAACAAAAAAATAAGCATCTTACTCAACAAAGATACCTGGTGGTGGCAGAGATTGGATTTCAACAAATGCTTTCAGACTCCAAATTTCATGCTGCCAGATACTGAACCAGACAAAAGACTAGTTAGAAAATTTGGTAAGTCAGTAAATAGTGCAGTGAAAACGGAGGATGCCAAGCAGCTAACTGAAGGGTGGGTTTTCTGATAGTTGACAGGCATGAAAGGCAGAAGCATTTAATTAGATGACGTTGTGAGTCCCATACATCGCTGTATGAACCAGTCATCCCCATACATGTAGCTACTTCTTTTGACAGTGGGAGTTATAAAGTTTCTAGGAAGACATTTATTGTTTTTAAGTTTGAAAGATAAAGATATATGAGTGAGAAATCATGTGATGTCAGTGGAAATTTCTTTGTTTTAATTTTAAGGAAAATAAAAGGACAAGGTGTTTTCTAATAAAAAGTAAATTTGTTATTTAAAGACTATTAAGATAGTTTTATATTTGTATATTCTTTCATGTAATAATCTATTTCAAGATTTACTACAAAGCTATAGTAATCAAAACAGGGTGGTACTAGCCTTAAAAAAAGACACATAGGCAAATTGAACAGAACAGTTAGCCCAGAAATAAATCCATCATTTATAGTCAATTTATTTTTGACAAAGATGCCAAGAATACACAATGTGGACAAATAGTCTCAATTAATAGCTCTGGGAAAGCTGAGTTTGGTGGTGCACACCTGTAATCTCAGCACTTGGGAGGTTGAGGCAGGAGGATCATCAGGAGCTTGGGGCCAGCCTAGGTTACATAGTGAGTTCAAGGGCAGCCTGAACTACATAATGAAACCCTTTTGCAAAAAGCAAAACAAAACCAAAATAAAACAAAAAGTTCTGGCAAAACTGGATATCTACATGCCAAAAAATGAAACTCAAGCCTTATCTTATACTGTATAAAATCAATATAAAACAGATCAAAGACTTAAACATAATATTTAAAAGGGTAAAACAACTAGAAGCAATCTAATGCACAAAGGATGAACAATAGGATTGATTTTCCTTGAAATTTCTTTTCATCCTCAGTAATTTTGTTAAAATCCTTTCCAGGTAGCACAACATTTCATCAGTGACTGGTCTGTGTGGAAAATGTTTCTGGTTTGTCTCTCAGCTGGTGTGATAACAGCAGCAATTGGAGTACTCATAGTGTCCTTGGTGGCTAATGTGAAAAATAATGATGTTATTGTTATAAAACTTCCTCAAAGCCAAGGGATTCCATCTACAACTCAAACAACCTCATCTACAAGTTCTAAACCTACATTTACCACTACTATAATAGACTCTACCACAACTTCCACTTCAATTCCGCTTATAATCACAACAACCACTGCTAGTAGTTCAACAGCACGTTGGAGCACAAATACAATCACCAGTGCTTCAACTGAAATCGCAAAAACATCTGCCATCACTTCAAATGGAGCAACAACTGCCACTAATTCAGGGAGTTCCACAGAGAGTATATCCACAATGGCCACTACTATCACTTTTACTGAACTCACTATTACAACAG